TGCGTGTCAAAAATGTAATAACGCAAACGTATTATACATATATTGATCGAATTCGCACGGATTAGTACACACACACACACACACCCATGTATACATATGTATATATAGATACCGGGTCTCTCGATGACTTACATAATTAGTAACGTTGGTTGGACAATAGCGAAATATTACCGTTCCAAGCTCGTCGCCGATCGGCTTTGGTCTTGGTTCCTTCCCTGTTGGAATATAAAAGGCTTCCGGGGTAGCAGAATTGTATTCTATGTGGCGAATTCGTTCTGGGATTACCTAGGATTATTTTGCCTCGATTAATTATAAATTTAATTAATATACGTAATTATAATACATGAATTAGTTTATATTAATCAAAGTAAAAGAAATGAATAATTTTTTGTATATATTTTCTTAAGAAATTCAGATTATCAAAATGGTTTTTTATTTTTAAATAACAGAGGAACGCATTGGTTACTTTTGTTCCGATACTCATTGTTCTTTTGAAAATCGCGGCATACAAGTGCGTTAATTCTTACCTGACATTCGGTCGGCCATCTAGCTGCTTCCTGAATACTTCCGTCGACGATGCACCGTGCATCGAGAACCGCCCGAAGAGTTTCCTTCGAGGAGTACCGATGCCTAGATAAACTTAGGGGTATCGCGAACAGCGCCGACTCCACATCCCGTCTCAGAGTCGAGCCATCGTAATGTTCAAGCTGAGATACTTGCAACTCTTGTGGCGCTAGATCAGAAAGCATGCCACCTGCATCGTCAAAAAAAAAAAAGAATTTATTTTATCGTTGTGTTGCATAAGATGAAATTACGTTTTCTGTAAACTTAATGTTTTTGTTAATAGATAGATATTGTAAATGAACAGAGGAAATTACAGTACATTCACCGATTAATGATATTGTGCGTTTTGAGAATTAAGATAACGTTTGAAAAAATTTAATAATTTTTGCTTATTCGCGGAAAATTAGTCATCTTAACGATATACATGTAAAATAATTATATATTAATAAGCAACACAAGTGTATTGAAATAACATGAAATAAATATTTAAATTTGAAAATTGTATTATTCACACGAGTACGCGTGGATATCATAATGATAGGCATTACATGTTATTGTTAAAGTATATTAATAAACGTGACCGCTTATGAGAGGGGGTACAATGTCCGCAGGTTTACGACTTCATCAACATCTTCATTACATTGTTATAAATGCATTATTTTTCTACCTCCATTGAATAATGCATCGGAATATATAGAAATCAATTTGTCGAGTGAACGATAATGCTAATTTTATTAATTTTAAACCGATGGTAATTATTTTTGTTTCTTCTCATTAAAGCTCACCTGGGATGGGTTGGATCGGAAATAGCATGGCTTGAAGCTCTCTCACTCTGCTGTTCGACACCGCTTTCGTCATATTTCGTTATCTCTCGTCAGTCCCGTCCTCATCTTGCTCGTCGCGATTGTCAACGTCCACTGCGAGTATCGGCGACGTTTTTCCGCCTTTAGCATTCTCGTGCCAATCCGTGTAATCCTCCTTCGTCGGTACTTCCTCCCCGAGGAGATACTTGACAATCGGATTCTTCATCTTTATCTAAATATATTTATATTCTCATGATTTTCAGCTCTCGAGCTCCTTCTCGCGACAGATTGTATCGGTCGACCTTGTAAATGTCGATATAGACACACGCGTCCTCTCTCATGATTATAACTAATTATGATGATTTAAAATTTATTACTCGCTTTATAAAGGCAAGTAAATACGAAAATTTTTAACATCTTTTTCTCAACGTAGAAAGGACTCGTTCATTTTTGTCTAAAGGAAAGACAATATCTATAATAAGTATTTCTATAAGTTTATATAAATATCTATAAATATGCCTATATATAAATTTATATATCTATATGCTTCTAAGTATTCTATATACATACTTTATAAATTGTAGCTTTGATTATCACCGACATACATATATGTAATTGAAATTTATCAGAAAAGCAAATCTTGATTTTCAAAATTTGATTACTTTAACTTTTTAAACTTCTGATAATACATCAACTATATCAATCACTAACACTGTTCGAATAATAATAATAAATAATGCGAATAATCGTAAGATGAAAGTGTCAAGTGTAAATAAATGAGAAAGTTTATGGAGATAGAGGCACAATCGATGAGAAGATACAAGTTATTACAAACTATTCGGAATTTGCGGTAGCTTGGACCTGGTGAACGCTAGAGAGAAACTTGGCCCGCGTTGCTGAAGAGATCGAGTGGAACGTTTCCTTGGATGATTGCCTGACAACCGTCGCGAATCGTGGGCGGAGCTACGATCGAAACGATTGTTCGTTAAC